GATCCTTGAAAATATGATTTTCTAAATAGGGAATGTGATTCAAGTTGAAAGGAAGAGAAAATTTTTGAAATTCGCCCCTTTATTCCGCAAGATTTGGGCGTTCATACGATTGATCTCTCATCCCTTCAACTATACCCCTTGGAAGCATGGTGACTATCAACTACAAGATACCAGGTTGGGATTTAGAGGAGCATTTAGGTGTTCTTGGTTGTGAAAATGATGTGATGGACATGTTTGCCATCCATGGGGACATCCGTAAGATAATATTCTGTGTTACTTATACCAAAGCCAAGTGTGTTAGTATGAATGATGGGTATAGTGGCAAGGGAAATGAACAATTGCAAGATGATGATGATGATGTTGACTGTCATGTAGTTGATCATAGCCATGGCAATGATGAGGGGCTAGATGGTCATCATGATGTTGATGATAGGGAATTTGAGGGTTTGTATGATGATGGTGAGACTTACTGGGATGATGATGGTGGGAAAGATGATGATGGTGGGGATCAAGAGGGTTCGGATGAAGATGATGGTAATGAGGGTGTACATGATGGTGGTGGTGCTGATTTGTCTGACTATGAGCCTATCAATGAGTATGACAATCCAAGGGAAAGGGGCAAAACAATGGATTTTGATTTTTCCAAACCAAGATTTCGGGTTGGTATGGAGTTTACCAATGTGAAAGAGTTTAGACAAGCATTGAGACAATATTGTGTGGTGGAGGGTATAGAGATCAAAAGAAAGAAAAATGAAAAGTATAGGTTTACTGAAGTGTGTGTTGTAGTTGATTGTGGCTAAAGGATTCATGCATCCCTTAGCCATGATGGAGGTAGCTTCATAGTGAAGACCCTCAATGATACACAGTTGTATCAGGGTGACTACAAATAGAGAGGCAACAAATACATGGTTGTCAACAAAGATTGAAGGGATGTTAAGGGCTAATCCTACCATGTCAAGCAGTGTGCTTAGGTCTAAAGTTAGGAGAATGTTTGGGATAGATGTCACCTGGAGGAAAAATACATAGGGCTAAGCTTAAGGCTGTTGATAGGATCAGGGGATCCTTAGCATATTCATATGTAGTACTCCCTCAATACTGTACAACCTTGCTTGCAAGCAACCCTGAGTCTATTTTGAAGCTGCATGCCCTACTTGCCTCAGAAGAAGACACATATGGGGTTTTCAAAAGAATCATTGGACTGGATGGTTTACACACCAAGTGTAATGGAAATTTTCCTATTGCATATACTGTGGTGGAAGCTGAAAGCAGAGACATTTGGACATGGTTCTTGGTTGAGTTAAGAAATGCTCTGGGTATCAATGACCTGTACAGGTGGACATTTATGTTGGATAGGAAGAAGGTATGTATATATTTGTTTGGTTGAGTTAATGCATATTTTTCTTTGTTTTGATTACAAATAGCACTAATAAATGTGATGCTTGTTTGCAAGGCATTGTTGAAGTAGTATCATGTTGCATGCCTGGTGCAAATCATAGGTTATGTCTACGACATCTATATAGCAACTTCAAAAAGCTATTCAAGGGGAAGGCATTGAAGGATGTTGTATGGGCTACTGGAAAATCATATACCTAGACTAACTTTGTTCATTACATGAAAGTAATCAAAAGCATATCCAGAGATGCATTTGAATGGCTTAGCAAAATCCCCCCCGACACATAGTCCAAGCATGGGTTTGACCCATTAGTTAAGTCTAATGACATAATAAACAATTGGACAGAGTCATTTAATGCATGGATTGGGGAGGCCAGAGCAATGCCAATTGTTGAGATGTTGGAGGACATAAGGAAAAGATGGATGTAGAAGATTTATTATAGACACAAGGCATCCATTGCACTTAGTTCTGATCTGTTGCCTAAGGTGCAAGCAATCATTAACAAGAGATCAAGGGAAGCTAGGTGATGTTTATTACCCATATACTTATTGTGTTTTAGGCTTGAGCAATTCATTGTACATGTACTTACTTATTGTGTTTTAACATGTCTGTTAGGGTTTTCAAATCAGGACAATATGAGTTTCAAACACTAGGAGTTGACTTGGTTGAAAATGTCACTAAGATGAATGTGATGTCATGCACATGTAAGGTTTGGGATATAAGTGGCCTACCTTGTGCTCAATCACTTGCAGTGCTTACCTTTACAAGATGTAGGGTGGAGGAGCTATGTGACAAGGCCTTCCACAAGGCAATATATGCAAAGGTGTACAACCATTTTATTCATGCTCTCTCGGGACAAAAATACTGGCAAAAAGTACAACACCACCCAGTTAGAAGAGAAGAAGAGAAGATGATGAAACAGCCCCATTATATTGTGCCCTACTAGAACAGAAGACATAGGTGTTCCATTTGTGGTATAACAGGGCACAACAGAAGGACTTGCAAAGCCCCTCCTCCGAATATGAACAGAGAGACTCCAATGGTAAAAATCACTCAAGACTCAACACAAATGAACTTATGAATAGTATTTTATTTGTGTAGAGTGTACTATGTAGGGTATTTGAATTGTAGGATAGAGGGCCTATTGCTGATCATGATCCTACTCAAATTACAAGAAGGAAAGTCTTGCCACCCAAGAGAGGGGCTATTTCTACACAAGTTGTTGTTGGCTCATACATGCCCCATCACACTCTAACAACTTATCAAGTTGAGTCATCATCAGGAGCAGCAGGTGGTAGTGCGAGTAGAATGTCTGATAGGGGTGGTAGAACAAGGGGGAGGGGGAGGTCTGTTAGGGGAGGTATAGGTGGTAGAGTTGACATGGGGGAATATGTAACATGTACAGAACTAGTCAGTATAGACTGATTTCATAACTGGTTTTGTACAGCATTGTCAAATCTACAATAGCAACGACATGTATGAATACATTTATATATAAAGGCCTAACCCTCTTAACCATAATATAAATCTGAGTTTGGTGGGCTAGACATGGAAACTTCATTTGCTCTTCCACTAATGTAGTAGTTGTAGGAATAAACAAGTGTCTGACATTCACTCCCCTGCTTTCCTACTCCAATGTATTTACCCTGCATTGAGATCAAGACCGGGCCTTACAATAGTAACATTGCCAACACCTGGTCCACCAGCAATCTCTGTGATAAAAGGGGCTCTTGGATAGGTGGGTAGAGTACTTGAACCTAATATCTATGGTATGGGAGAGGGACTGAATGACCAATAGCAAACCCATTATTATAGGAGAAAGCAGGAGATGGAGCATAAGCTAGTGTTGGTTGTAGAGCAACCACCTTTCCTCCTTGCTCAATTAAAGGAATAGCACCCGACCCAATCAAATACATGATTGTTTAATGGCTAAGATATGAGTCAAATATATGGCAGTCAAATATATTACAGTAATGATAGTTGTTTCAGAATGATAAATGGAGAATAAACTTATTGTACTATTATACTTAACAGTATAAAAAAAAGGTCACAACTGTTTGATAAAACATATGAGAGAGAGAGAGAGAGAGAGAGAGAGAGAGAGAGTTATGAGAGTCATCCCTACATATTAAACAAACACCTTCAAACACTAATGACAAAATTCAATGTTTTTTATGCACTTCAATGCAGAATTAGAAAACCACATCATGATTCTTTTATGCGTAAATCCTTGATACGTTTCAATAACTTATCATAAAATTCGGACATCCTACCCGAACTATCATTCTCAGATTGTAAAACTATCACTACTTCATCCAATGTGTCTCTAGATGACCTTTCATTTATTCTGGAAGGTTCTGAACCATCATCTGCTTTCATGGTTACACTATTCACCAGTGTTACCCATGAAAAGAATTTATAGCCACCTGCATCCTACAAATCAATTGAATTTTCATAAGTCATTGAACAAAACAATTATGGAATAACAATTTTTTTTTCTTACCCGAGGCTTTGCATACACCTAGAACTATTTTCCTTGGCTGCTAGGCTTTTTCAATGTGAACACCCGACATAGCCCAATGCCATAGGGACACATCATTGCTTCATCTTTTCATAAGAAAAAGTTGCATCGTTTATTGAGGGCAAATTACAACAAATACATTTTATTTAACATAGAACATGTTGGGTAATCTACAACAAAATTACCTAACTGATAACCTACATAGTAGTGGCACCCATAGAATTGTCGACCTACGTTCTCAGACTTTCCATGCCTAGCCACGACTATGACACACTCTCCACCGCATGGACACACCGCATTCATGGTGCCCACTCACAATTGTTGTACCTACAATCATTAGAAGAACAGATTAGACGTCACATACAGGTGACTAGGCATACAAGGTGGAAGGGGTGCAGGGGGTTGCGCTTGTAAGGGGAGGGG